AAGCAAGCAAGCAAGCAAGCAAGCAAGCAAGTGAGCGCGTGGCCTAAACCTACTTTACCCGGAATCCAGATCTCGCATGTTACTTTTAATTCCGCGAATCTTGTTAGAATAGAGATGGAATCCGATGCTTAACGACCTACTTCGTAAAATCGAGTCACGGAAGTGATCCAATCTAATGGTCGCCACTTTCGCCCCATACATTCTCTCATACATTTACACAGACATACAGTGTCCATCAAGAAGTCATGGTTCATTCAACCGGAAGCAGCTCTTACGGCACCACATGCTGGTCACCACCGCTTGTTCATCAGGTCGTGATTGTCGCGTGATCAAATCGCTTGACATTAATCCAGGTATGACATGCAATCAGACATGATTACGTCTTGGTAACCATATTTCTCAATACGAACGAAGAAAATTACTAATTAAAATTATGCATTAAATTTTTATCAAAAGTCAAAAAATATTTCGACAAAGTTTAATTATCCGTTATGTAAAAATTTGTTTAGTTAGAATAATAAAGATTCGAATTCTTTGAATAAGAATTTCAATTTTTACATTTTTGTATGTAGTTTTTATTATATTCTTTTTGTAAGAATATTTAACTTTTTATATTCTTTCTATTACATAAACTGGCTTTTACTATACATTAATTTAGTAATAAAAATCTATGTATTTAACTAGACGTATTATTTCAAAAATTGAAATTACATTTGTAGAAAGAGAATTGTCTTTAATCAAACAATCTCAGCATTGAAACGTCGTATAAGTTGACCTTTAGAATTCGCGATTAAGAAATATAAATTAGTATATATCGTACAATACCTTGATTGAATGTAGTATGTTTCTCGGCAAATAATACTAGAAAGGAATATTGCATCGACAACAAAAGGTCGCGCGCGTGCTGGGAGATAATTCTGCTAGTTATATTTATCACATTTCATCGAATTCCAAGTCTTAAAAAGAATAACGAAAATAAAAAAGTGACAAAGATTTATTTGTTAAAGCTAAATTAAGTATTGCAAAATTATGAAGTTATTCAAAATTTATTTTGCATATTTTGAATTACTTTTTATTTTACGTTTTGTAAAAAGAGAAAGTACGTGCCCCTACACGCCGCAACCACATGTAGTAATGTGTTACAATGGCTGCCTATCTAAAGGCGCAATAAGAGCATACGTGGGAAATACTATCGATTTGTATAATTTATTGATCTCTTATTTATATTATATTATATTATATTATATTATATTATATTATATTATATTAAATTATCTCAACAATAATTCAGAGTTAAAAAATCTTAAAATAAAATTAATTTTACACAAGAAAAAATTATAGTAAAATTCTCAAAACCGGTAATATTACAATCTTTTAGTGTTTTAGAGATTCCTTTTATAAGTATTAATTTGTTTATAACAGGTTTATAATTTCGTTAATATAATGATTATATCACGATTTATATTGACATTTCCGTAAAAATTTAAATTTTTTGGAGAAAAAAAGATTCAAAATTACGACTTTATTTTCGAATAATTGACCTTTTTGATGGCGTAACCGCGCGCACGTGTATGTATGACGAATACTCCGCGAATGACGTGAATCCGACACAATTCCCGGTTTCTTAATGAATACGACGAAGATTAGGCTAGTGGGAAGAAAGAGAAAGTAGAACAAATACACATAAACAATGTCTAATTCCCGCGATCTTCGCCCCGAGCGTTGAACGAGGTTTCACAAGGGTTCGCCCTCAACATGCAATTACATCATACACAATATTAATCAAACGATTGCAGATGTACATATTACGAATATACATCCGTTTTAAAAAAGAGTTTTTACCTGTCGACTTCTGCTTCGTCTTGATATGAATCACGCTCTCAGTTTCCGAATCGGATCCCAACCAATATGTTGTGCCACTGCAATCAGAATCGCTCTGAAGATCATCAGATGTCTCCTCCAGAATCGTTTCCAGAAAATCAACTTGTTGCACCAGAACCGTATCTGTAAAATGAGGCATGTCTGTTCATCATGTTAACATTAATATTAACTTATACATTGAATCTTTAATAAAAAAAGAAACGTTGAAAAATTTAATGTCTCTCAAACATTTAATAAAATAATTACTCTATACAATCATTTTTATTCATTTTAAAATAAAATCTATTTTGCGTTTGAAATAATTCCTACTTAAAAAATATTAATTAGAAAATATGCATTTTCTTATTATTCTTGTGCAATATCTATTTTATCAATCGGATTGCTCGAATTTTAGTTTTAATTTTGAATTTCATACAGTTTCACGCATTTTCCATGTGCGCCGTTCATCGTTTTTGTGTCACATCGATTTCGTGTTCAACAATGCGTAGAAATGTAAACTTGTCATTTATGCCTTGTCATTTTGTCGTCGAAAGTGTTGCAGCTGGCCTGCTCGCAGAAGCGAAGCGAAATTCTTAACGAAAGGTTGTGACTCATTCTTTATCAACGGGTGTAACTATTATGTTGGCGATACGTAAAAGGTCATCCACCTTTCGAGCTTTCGTCGTCAAAGCCAGTTTAAGATATTTCGCATCTGTGTATATAATCTTTTTAAAGATCTCGTCATTTGTTTTGCGTTCGGAATTTTAATATATCGCTTTGGAGTTTTTTGTCGAATAAATTATATTGATCTAATATGTTTATATTTAATCTAAAAAAAATTTTATGAATGATATTCAATCGGCTGGATATTAATACAGAACACTCCATCGAATATCCGAATAATTAACCAAAAATAAATTAACTGTTTATTTTGATTCTAAACTTTATCTAAGGATAGCAAAATAGAAAATATAACGATTAAAAAATTATGGTGAATTGGAATATGGTGAATTGATGGATCAATATTCATTAATCAGCTGCCTTGAACGAAAAGTAACGTACGTCGTAGGAACATAAAGCGTTTTTACGCGTTCCTGCCTTCTTCGTCATCGTGCGATGAATGATGGCGTGAACAGTTAGGCGCTGCTAAGAACGGGACATTGCATACTTGCACGGTGTAGCTTTAGAATGCATTCGGTGCACTCTAACCGCAAGCGATTGCTCGCGCTCTCGTGGAAAAGTCAAACGCTATCTTACCCTTTCATCTTACTGAAATAGTTGCATAACGTTACGCGTACGCGACTCGTAACATTTGCATCGCGCTGCGTCGCTTCCTCACGCCTGCATCACGCGATTCCGCACTTAAGGAGAGAAAAAAACGCCCGAAATCAGATATTCCCCTTTCTCCCGGCCAATATCTGAAACAAGATGAATGCGGAAGCGCACGATTGCCAATCTCGAAAAATGATGCGAGTAGTCGAATAGGCGAATAGTCGAGGGTCGAGACTTTTGTGAGAGATTGCATTGTAATTTTCCACGAGTAGGCGACGATAACGCTATCGAAATAAACTTTGTACATATGCCTGAATGCGATCTGGCAGTCTGGCAGAATGGCAGTCAGCGTGAGAAACAATGAATGGAGCAAGAAGCCGGAATTATACTACTGAGAGAGAAAATTTCCTCGAAGTTAGCCATTACAGGTCAAGCGGGGAATATCTCTGTTTTATTATATCATAATTGTTACGTTCTTGCACGCGCGACGTGTCGATGAAAAATATAAATCAAACTCAATCGAGAGATCAATGAAAAACATTAATTTTCGTCGTAGCTCGCTTATATGCGAATCTAAGATGTACAAAGCTTGATCAACACATTGTAAATTATGGATCGACCAATTAATCCCAATAATTATGAAGTCGAGAGACGCAATCAAGCGCCTGTGTGTGTGTGTGTGTGTGTGTGTGTGCGCGCGTGCGTGCGCGCGCGCGCGCGCATGTGTGCATAATGTATGTGTGTGTATATGCACCTGATTTCCGCCACACCTCGAATCGTTGAGACAGACACGCTCAATGAGAAATATTACACGCACGCGAGAAATTGCGTTTGCCCATTAATTTAGATTAGACAAATTTCGACCAAATCATTGATCGATCTAAAGAAGAATTTCATTCGTTTTTGAATTGAATTAGTCTTATTAAAGATGATTTCCTCATTGTGAAATTTCATACTTGACAATTGTCATTGATACCCTCGTTTTTTTTCTCGAGTCGCGAGTATTAGATACGGAATAAAATAATGATATATCGAGGTGTCATTAAATCTAAGTGTTTTTAACTATGAGACCTCATAGAGATGGAGATTGTGAGAGCGGGTCGTCAGGCCGCTGAAACGCAATTTGTCTTGCACGAGTGCGGAGGCACGCACCAGTATGCAACATCATGGCGGAGCCACCTGTTGCATACTGTTGCAGTTGTCTGCCTGTTGCCGTTCCATGAGTAACGGACAAGAATAAACCGCCGTAGCCTTACATAAAAATAATCAGCCGGATTAGTGTCTTTCTAGAGACCTTCCAGCGGAAGCTATATTCATAGCGATATTCATAATATATGTATTAAAACGGAGAGATTTTTCAGATTTATTTTTACCTCCAAGCAACGCGTTCTAAATTTTTTTTAAATTTTCTTCTCTTAAATATCGCTAGCACAATCGATTAAAATTAATAATCTATTAAAAAGTAATATTAAATTTATATTAAAATTATAAATACGATTCATTCTGTGTATTAATTTATTTTATCATTTATATATGGTACACTAATTTACAAGTATGTTTTACTTTCTATCTTAGAGAGATACACGACTTTCTTTATTTCAAACCGGTCTTTCAAAGCGAATGATAAACTAATTAGAGCGAATAACTTTTCTCGCGCAGTTATACTCGACCGATCCCCCTTGCTCACTCTCCATTTCTTACTTCGCGTGGTTTGTTAGTTTACTCGCTTGCTAATCGATCCACGTTGATCCACGTGACTAGAAACTTAAATTACTTTTCTCACGGCGTATCAGTCATCATTATTGTTGATCAACCTAAGTATCAATATTCAAAACAATCAATCAATCATTAATTCAATTATTAATCAAAAGATCAAAGATATTACTTTTCGTAAAAAAAAATTTCATTAAAAAATCCAAAATTAAGAAACCGATTGTAAAAGAACGCGGCAGGCTCGAATCATTGTTTATAACCGCATAAAAATTCGGTAACCGTTACCGTTGATCATTATTGATTGCCATGCAAAATGTTTTCTGCGTTTGCGATTTCAACGGTCAAACCTTGATCGCGAGAATAACCGGTCGACATTGATCGCGTGCTATATTGGAAGGAAAATTTTTGCATCGCTTGCAATGACTTCTCGGAGTCCTCTCGGAGTCTTCTCGAAGTCGCCGCCGGCGCCGCCGTTTCGTCTACTACGCTCTAGATATCGGCGACGAGGCCGATATCATTACCGCGATTTCCAACGGCTAGAAAACGGATCGGCTTTGCATACAGATCGCCCGTTAATAGCACGCTGCTTTCTACTCAAACGTGTGGGTGAGAGGAACGCTGGAAAAACTGGGAGCAAATAAAAATCGCGCACGCGTCCTCGGACTTCCGTAAATGCGCTCATACAGTGGCAACTTATCATCGATCCTTACATGAATATTAACTTCAATCACGACCTGATATCTGATCTATGATTCATTCTTTAAAGTGTCTAACGACGTAATAGATAAATTTTTGAGATGGTATCTTTTATGTGTAACTATAATCTCTTATTAGAGCATGTAATTTATGCATGTTATATTTTTATATTTTATTATATCAATAATTGTGAAATCTTATTTCTTATAAAATGTTTCAAATTCTTTGATTCTATAAGAATTTTTTAATAAATATTGTACGCATCATTGTAAAACATTTCCTTTCCCAAGCTACACAAATTTAATAATTAATTTAATAAGTAATTTCAAATTGGAAGGGTTAATCGCTTAGCGTGACAAGCCACGAATAGCGACCTAGATCACCATAATCACGCTTTTAGATTTGCGTCAAAAGTGATCTAACAGTATTCCGGGCTGTTGTTCTACGTTCTCAGACACCAGAGATTTGCACACAGTAAAGAGAAAAAGGAAGAGAATTGATCATTTTCTCTCCCCGTTCGAGATTCCCTGAGAGATTGTTTCTGCTCGCCGAGGCAAATAATTGCAAATTACACATATAAATATACAAGGATGATAATATACAGGACAAGATAAATGATAGTGTTTGCAAGAAACATTGCATCGTAATAAATTATCTAAATATATGTTAATTAATACGAATAAAATATCGCTGAAATCCACGCGCTTGTAAATACCGAAATGTCGAATAGTCCTATCGCATTGTATAGTATAGTATCATTGAACGCAAGTAGACGTACGGCATGGGAAGGAAGTGCGTGCGAGTGTGAAAAAAGAACAGGAAGAGAGAGGGAATAGTAATGTACGAACCATTAACCCGTAGATCCTCCAAGTGCGTCGGTTGGAATTGAGAGTGATGCTGCAGCTGGAAACCATAGGCCGGAAGCCAGGGATTCGGACCGTTCACCAGATCCACGTCGCCGGAGGGTTCGACGCGGTCCAGGGTCAAGGTCGCCGGATCCTCCTCCTCCTCCTCCTCTCCGGCGGAGGTGACCGCGGAGACGACGGCGACGTTCGTCGGCGTTAGCGTCGCCGTCGCACTCGAATCGTTCCCACTCATCGTCGCACGACGAACCTTCGCCCCGTCGTCCACGATCGGCACCGACGATCGTTAGCCACTCCGACGAACTGTGAACCTCCTTTTCGCCTCTCCTTCATATCCCACCGTTACGAATGCAGCATCGGAAGCCGCGCCGTTTCTTTCCGACCGGAGGTACGACGAACCGATCGATCGATCGATCGATCGACCGACCGACCAACCGACCGACCGACCGACCGACCGACCAACCGACCGACCAACCGACCGACCGACCGACCGACCGACCGATCGACCGACCGATCGACCGCGTCAGATTCGACAAGATTTCAGCATGATCCGGATCGTTGAACTTTCCTCCCTTTGACCTTGCGCGCACTAGGGACGGCTGAAACGCAAACGGCATCCAATTGCTTTAATTAAGAGCTTTAATAAATCTATTTTTAGGTCTTTCAGAAGAGGAGAGAGAAAGTTGCATACGTCGTTCATTCTTCGAAAATTTTAAAATAGATTCTTTTTCTTTTATAAACATTAACTCCCGGAGTCTTCTTTCTACTACGATATCCTTGAGTCAATATAAAGTCTTTTTACAGCCTTTGCGATGTCTTCTCGCTTGAGAATTCCGGCCTTTAAACTTTCGGAAGATTTAAGATCCCTTATCTTGAAAATCCTTCGGAAGAACGCCAAGACCTCCACGACGTTTGAGAATGTTAACCTCGATTTCCACCAACACAGATAAACTTTGATCTCGATTCAATTTACCTTTTATCTTCTCCTAATTTATAGAATTATATAAAGATAGAAAGTGAATTTAATCAAGATAAAAAAATAATCTACATTGGTGGGGAAATGGGGGTAAAAGTTCTACATTCTTGATTTCCTTGAACCCAGAGGCCTCAAACTTTCTCAGATGCGAACGAGAAGGAATTCGCAAACGGTGGAATCCGTTTGCGATTCATCAGTCGAGAGGGAACAAGGGGGGTCGCGAGTACTGCTGGCCTATGAGATGAAAGGGAGATACGCGTCGTGATAGGGGCACGTCTTAACGAGCGTATGTACTCTGGGCGGGCGTTAAATATCGCCGCGAGCCGCGGATTTACATGACACGTCGGCGAGGGGAATCCTCGATGCAGGTGGGAGTTATGTTTGTATGTAATTGGATAAAGATCGGCTCGGGTCGTCGCCCTTACCTTCCCTTTCCTTTCCTCTTGCCCCCCCCCCCTTTCCCATACTTTGCGATTCCACGGGTGGCAGAAATTTTATTACCATCGTATTTCTTTCGGTAGACCGCGTGAGTGGTTTAAAACCGATGCATAACGGCGTGCTCTCGATGATCTTCCCCGATAAATCATCATAAAGGAATGCCGGGTAGAAAAGGGCTCAAAAAATACATGGGAAAAAGTTGAGACTCGTAAACTGCCGCTAAAGCTAAAAATTATTATTATATAACACGGAAAAGGAATTAAGTTTAACTTAAAATTCTTGATTTGTCACCATGGTCATATTAAATCGTGACGTCGTGAAGCGAAAAAAGACACATTGAGATTTTTTACATGCTATTTGCAAATAAAAAGATATTTGGATAAAATAACACTTGCTTTAAGATCGTTTTAAGACACTGAAAATTGACAGAAATAGGAATGAGCGGCGGGAATTCTATTACAGTTTCGACAAAAAAATGAATCAATAGGCATGAAAAGTGACATATTGATAATAAAATTTTGTTTTGCCTGCTTTTGTTTTGTTATGTACTTAATTGCACAAGTGTGACTTGTATTTTATCAAACCTGTAAAAATGGACGGAAACTAAGGTTACCTTAGAATTTTATACAAGAGCATATTTTTTTTTTCAGTGAAAATATGTTCTTTTAATGACTTTCAAACAATGTTTTCTTGTCTAAATAGGTTTCATTTCATGTACTTTTATGTAACTACTTATTGACTATCAGAAAGGAAAAGGTTTTTCCGCCCAAGTGTCTTAAAACGTTGTCTCAAGTGTTGTTTTATCCAAATATCTCTTTATTTGCAAATGGTATGCAAGAAATATCAATGTTTCTTTCTCGCTTATGATATCACAATTCAATATGGTCGCGATGACTAGTCAGCAGCTTTAATTTAATTCAAAAAAACTGCCAATTTTTTTCTTGTTTAACGTTAATATTCGGACATCGCGTGGTTTTGTGATATATGATGAATTTTGTAGTACATGCATACATGTGTATTAAGTATCAAGCATAAAATTTCTCGTATATATTATCGCAAAATATTACCACCATGTACATACATGTATACGTGTACCTACGAACGATCATCGAGAGCGAGGTAAACAGCGCGAAGAAAATTCCCAGTCGAGACTCGTCTTCGCTTCCTCTATCCAAGCGAGAGGCGCGACGAAGCGAGAGAATGAGTGCCGATCGCCGAGTGTAATCCCAATCGAGATAATCGCTATCGCCGTTCACATGGAACGCTCACGGATAACGTCCTTGGTGAATTATTTCAAAAGCGTGGAAAGTATCGCGATCGCAAAAGAGAGAACCGGAAACTGTTTGCGATAAAGGAGCAAGGACTCATTAATATTACTCGCCTATCTACGTCATTCTGTTTTTTCTCCCTCCCCCCTCCCGTTACAATTGCATGAATATCTCAATACGTGTGAAAATTTATCTTTTCGTTTTCTCAAACTTTTCGCAAATTGCCGATTAACGGAATTGAGCTTCTCTTTCAGACACATCGACTAATATGCCCTATTTCACTAACGTAGATTTACTTTAATCTACGTTGATGGAATCGGGCATTAGTGATCGGTACTCTGATCGTGCAAGTTATCGGAGCTAGAGGATGCAACGGAGCGTGAATCGCCGATCGAATATCGATCTTTCGAGCGTCGTTTATCGCCGAGGCGATAAACCGCGTCGCGAAAAATCCTGAGACAAGCGGCTCCCATCGTTCTTCGTCTCTTTCCCTCTCTCTCTCTCCCTCTCTCTTCCCGTTACACCTTACACATCACTGTGTATTTACGGTATGCGTCTGACTACACGCGGACACTTTCACTTTACGTAACTTTACTCACGGCGGCTAAGAGCGACGAACTTTGACTGTCTCGCGCCCGAAATCCTTTCCGGATCTTTGGGAATCGCTACGAACCGATAAAATTCGACGTTAATAAAAAGCTCTCCTCCTCGTATTTTCTCGTAAGAAAAAGTCACAGAACATGCGAGAATCTTTCCCTGAGTTTTTTTTTTTCAATAAACTAGGAACTTGCAAATTCTCTTACACAAAACTCGAGGAAGAGACTCGGAGAGATAAAAAATACCAAGAAACAATAGAGTTCAGGTCATTGGGATTCTAAAGAGAATTGTAGAATTCTAAAGGTACAAGAATTCAAGATGACCGTGAAGAAAACAAAATGTGAAATAGAGAGCGAGAGAAAGAGAGAAAAAAAACAGTTGTCATCGAGAAAGATCGCGGCCGAGCAGAGAGAAAAGGACGGAAGATAAAACGTGTAAACAGACACCATCGTATGGTGCGAGAGAGTGAGAGAGAAAAAGACAGCGTGAGACATGAATGCGAGAGCGAGAGAGAGAGAGAGAGAGAGAGAGAGAGAGAAAGATAGACGCCAGGCGCAATGTGAAAACGAAGAGGTACACCATATTCCAGAATCCTCTCCGAGTGCGGCGGCGCAGCGGATATCTACCTGTCAGCGTGCATTCCACGATCCCACGATCCGCGTGCTATCGTCGGCTCCGACGTGCACGTTTCCGTTCGCCGACGCGTAACTGCCCGGTGTTACGCCGACAGCGCGTACTCGCGCGTGTTACCCACTCGGCGCACTCGGCACTCCCGGTGCCGATATCACGCACTCCGGTCGTCACTCCTCTTTGTCGCTCGCCGCGTCGCCACGGTGAGAGCGACGTTAAACCGGTGACGTGCCGCGACGCGCGAACATGGCGCGCGCACTCGCTGTCGATTCCGCGACTTGGATCACACGCGCTCACGAAGCGAGAAGCGATAGGCGATGGGAAAGGCAGAGCGAAAACTCACCGGAGAACCGGAGTGTGGATCTTGCTCCCGCGATTTCGTATTCTTTCTCCTCACTCGTCTCTAGCCCGACTCGTTTTGCTTTCTTTTTCTTTTCCTTTTCTCCTTTCGAAACGAGACGGCGAATATGCGCGCGCGAGGTTCTCCAGACCGGACCGGAACGAGACACGACTACCCGACTTTAAGCACCGCGGGGTAAATACTACTACAACGAAACACCGCCGTTCTTGCCTACGGTGTGCGGCGGATCCGCCGACCAATCCTTACTCGCGCCGCGCCACCACGTGGTAGGAGTCGAGGCCAATCGCGCGACGCGCAGCCGTTCAATGGCAGCGTTTGCAAAGCCATCTGACGGCTGGATCGCGCCGTACACAAACGAGAATTTGCTCGCATCGATCGGGCCGAGAAATAAATCTCTCCGGCCTGTCGTCACAATATAAACGGCAATACTTTCGAACGTGATAGAAATATTTTGAAAACATTTCTATTAAATATTCTCACAAAAAATGTTTTTCCTTTCTTATATTACATAAATTACATAAAATATCGAAAAGAAAAAATTGAATATGGGATTACTGTTAAAGTTATTCGAACATAGCTTCAGTTCGAAAAGTTCGATTTATTTGACATTCGATCTTAAGATTCATCATCTAATATTTCCAAACTGTAATTTGCATATCTTTACGAGAACCGTAAGAGAATCTCACATCTCGATGAAGGCGATTCCAAATAAATGCGCACTACTTATTTATGCGATTACAATTACTAATGAACCACTTTCATGTTGCGCGAAGCGTAACAATTCTAATGAGATTCAATACATTGATATCCCATCATTCAAATGAATCATTGAATCGCGCGCGCGTTATATTCTTATTTATCTTACAAATGTTCTTGATTGAATAATTTTAAAATAATATTTTTGAAAATAAATTTTTATTCTGATGTTATCAATTTATGTCGCGTTCTAAAGGAGGAACATTACATCTATCGATCGTTCATTACGCGATACTCTGCGACTTAAAAGTAGTAGTTTGAAGAGAATTTGAACTCGCGGCCATGAATCCTGATTCTCTCGATATTTGATGTCCATGACTCGACTCGAAAAAAGAAATTAATACTTTGGGCTCGTTACGCACTCATTCCATTTATCCGGGGATTGTCCGATCTGATCGTCCGAACCGAATTTAGAAATCGTTATAACTGTCAATCGTTGAGGATGCCTTCATATTTTTCATTCTCTAGGATATCTTACATCTATTTTTATAATTTTTATATTTATAATTAAAAAATTATGAGAAACAGATAATTACAGATAATTCTAAATCGCATTTAAAAATAATATAAAAAAGTTTAGCTGGTTTAGGTGATTTAGAATCTGGATCAAAAATTATTTAAATAAATAAGTAGAAGTGTGCTCCAATGGAAATATAATTAAAAATAAATAAAAATTTCAATTTTTTATATAAGTACTTTAAGTATTCAAGATAATTTATAAAGTGTCATATTTCATTGCGATATAGAAATTAGTTGTCCTGTAAATAAAAATTAAATTTTTCTTTACAAAACAATATAAAATCTCCGTTTCGCAATAAAACTTTACATAAATCTTCAATACTTAAAATATTTATATAAAAAAAATGTAATTTTTGTCATATTTTTTAATCATATTTTTATGTCACATTTTTATTATTAGCATTACTATTTTTATATTCAAATAATTTTTGATCCTAAATCGCTACAAAATTTTTTATATTACTTTTAAATGCAATCTTGAATAACTTATAATTTTTTAATTGTAAATAAAAGTAGATGTAATATTTTTTTAAGTTAAACATACTTATAATGTAATAGCAAATGACATTCTACAAGTAATTCAACTTAAATGAGAAATATAAAAGTTGATGGAAATTTATTACAGCATATGCATTACACGCGATTAGGTTTACTCGCTGTAAAATACATCGCATATTACTCCTTTCTTCATAATAAATTTCGAAATTTTCAGACGAATGAAAATATCAATAAACTCACGCTGAGCATCTTCGCGAAGAATATCAGTCGACGTTCGTCTTGGGCATCCTGCGACGCAACATTTCTCATCTCGGTCTCTGAAAAATTTTTTTAGGATAGTCGCAAAATTTTAGCTCAAATATCAAACGAAAAATTGAAATAATGATAAAATTACGATGAGATATTTTTCGCATGTTAAATTTAATCGCTACGCGATCGCAATCTCGAAGTGTTCATTCATAGGTAAGAAAAGAAGAGAAAAGGATTCAATGCTCTCCTCGCTTCGTCGCATCCTTACCATATTCGTAATATTGCGACGGCTCGTCCTCACACTCCTCGGTAGCTGACCTGATCCTCACGATTTCTTGTTCATCGGTCTCACCCACGAGCGGTACGTAACCGGATCTCGTTATACGATTCTTAGCGGCGGCAACTGCGACCTAGAAAATGTAGCAGGAATTTCGTCCTTCAACACTAACCGTAATCGTAGATCTCGTCAGGTTCCTCAGTCACCGTTTCTTCCTCATCCTCTCCTGTGATTTCTTCGTCGGCGTTGTCATTGTCATTGTCGATGCTATTCTGATCTTCCTCTTCTTCCTTCTCCTCTTCGTCCTCATCGTCATCATTATTTACGACTGATGAACGATAGAATCTGCCTTCATCCAACTTATTTCGAGGCTGTCGATGTCTTCGTACGACACTATAGTCGTAATTACGATATACCTGCTTAGCCCTGCGCGGATGTTCGAGAAGACGACGTTGCGGTGATTGCACAGATTCCCCGTAAAAAATAGGCTCTACATATAAATCATGCAAGTGGATATTTTTTATAAGTATAGCCGACGCGGGTCTCGGGAAGTCGCAATCGAGATTATCGCTGGTAATACGAATGCGTGACAGAATCAAAAGCATTGATAAAAGAACGAATATACATAAACATAGCCTCAGCTTTGTCATTATGGACCGTTAGTAATGCGATTGAACTTAAGGGTTCGTCGGCAGGGCTAACTCCGACTTGATCCAAAATGATTATCTACTCCTTATTTACAGTGTAGATATGTATCTGTACTCAATTATATTTTGTCTTATAGAAACGATGTTTCGTCATGAAACTTTGCTAAGATAATTTCTTTTACAATTACGAAGATACCTACAGAGCCAATTTTGCAATTAAAAATAATAATTAAATAATTAAAATAAATGTAACTATCTACTCCTTATTTACAGTGCAGATATATATTTGAGTACACTCATATATCATCTCGTAGAAGCAATATTCTGTCATGAGCCTTTTTCTACGTATTTTTTATAAAATTAACTCTTGCTGCAGAGCGGAATTTTGCAATTTAACTCTTAAACAAAAAATTTACAATAGATGAAAATATTTGCACCTTATTGTCCTATAGTGCAAATCTATTTACGCATAAAATGAATTATTTATTTTCACACATTTTCTTACGAAAATCGCTCTGTAGCTTTCGTCAGGCAAATATTCTGATTATAAATATCATAATTATATAGTTTTTTTCGCAGTATTTTGACCGTAATATGGTGAAAATGAATTCATCTCCGATAGAGGTCTCCATAGTTTCTCCTGCCGATCCATAAGCACGGTTAGATCAATTGCAATCGAATGCAATCGTAAACAATTCGAGCTACTTTTGTTTCACAGATATCTCTGACAAATATTCATTCTCGTCTCGTAATTGACAATAAATCAACATGGTAAAATTATTTTATCGATTAATATAATATTGTAATCTATATTTTAGAATTGATGAATATACTTAATTCAACAATGAAACAACTTTTTAATATAAAATATAACATTGTTTTATTCAGTACAGACTATAGGTGTATACGTACGCGATATATACATTCAACACACATATCTATCTAAGATCTATCAATTTTTAAATTCATTTTTCCCAAATCTAAGCAGGATTTTTTTCCAGATACATTTTCGTCACAACGTCAGGACGACACTGATTTAAATCAATGTAATCCATACTGGTGCAACCCACCACGGGACATCTGTGAATATAACAGATAAAAATACTATGAGCATATTTCAATATCTAGCATTCTGTAAAAAAACGTACCTAGTATTTTTATTCTTCCGTAGCATTGCAACAAGACTTTCCTTATCGTATACGTGACCACAAACTGCATTTCTCACAGGATCGGTCATTCTTGTCTTAGAAATTGGATCAATCACATTTATTTGGCTGTACATCAGCTGCAAATCTGCATCTGTATCGTCTGGTCCATTGCCCGATACAGCTTCATTAGCTAGAAGATCCATGTTGATCTCAGAAAAAAATATAAGAAAAAAAAGACAAATGTAACAAGTTAATACCTCCAACAGTTACCTTCAAGCAAACCTTGGATCTGACGATCATATGTCAACAATCTATTATCCTCCAATGAATTAACTTGAATTTCGGATATAGCTGTTCTATATTCCTGTTACAAACGATAACAAGTACATATAAATCCAAGAGATTAGATTGATAATTCTTCAGTTAAAAGCGACTATTACTTTTGTGACATCCTCCACTTTCCTTTCCGGTTCGAATGCGGACAGATTTTCCAGATCCTTTCTGATCTTATTGGCAGCTTTTATTCTTGCAGATTCCATACAATTCTCCTTTAACAAATCTCTCAACTTCTCTAGAACCCTCTGTCTCTCTTCCTCATCAGCTAAAAATTCATCAGATTCATTCTTTTGCAATAAAAGACAAGAAGCTTATCTTAATGTTATACTTTCTGCTCTTTTTGAAACAAGAAAGATACAAGAGGAAAATAAAATACGAAAGGTAAAGTGGCATTACGAAGGTGTCCCTAACCTCATTAAGTCCTCACCATAATATTTTACAATATTCCCTGCAGTTTTCACGAAACAATCATCAAGTTCCTCTATTATTTGCGAGGATTGTGTCATTTTCGTACAATCTCATATGCTCTGCTCGATAATAATCGCCCGATAATGCCACTCGTCGTTTTTCCCGATAAGCTTCTTCGATCAGCCGTCAAACAGTGACGCCATTTAATAAACAATCCGATTGACACGAATTCGAGAGTTGAATATGAAGTGATACTGCAGAAATAACAGACACAATTTATTATCATTGCTTTAAATATTTTACTTTATTATTGTTTTTGCGGTAATGTATCTTTAAAACAATTATTTTAAATTTTGTCATTCAATTTTTATTTTAAATTTATTAGTTCATTATTTATTATAAGTTAAATTATAACTTTGATTTGAGTAGCTTCATATGATTTAGCCTGGATCATGCAGCGCTTTAACACAGATTGGTTGATTGGTGAAAAATGAGTAGTAGGGATAAAACGGTGAATGAATCTTTGAGTGCTTTTGTGCAGTCACTACCGCAGATATCATTCATTTACGCAGGGATGTATTTCATCTGTGCAGCTATCTCGGAAGTCCTGCTTTGGATGCTCTGCTTGCAATACTGCGTAAACGAACACCAAAATGAATTTTATTAGAATAAGAAGCGAAAAAGGTCAGAAACAAATAATTGATCCAAGTAAAATAATATAATTATAATAATATAATTAATAATATAATTAAAATAAAAATAAGATAAAATAAAAAAATAAGAAAAAATGAGAATAAAAGATAAGAATAAAATAACTAAAAGAATATAAAAATAACAAGAAATAAAAAAAATAAGAATAATAAAATAAGAAAAAATAAGAATATAATTCATAAAAAATTAATATTTAACTTTTAAGTAAAATTCATAGATTAAATTAATATTTCTTATAATAGCCATTATTTATATCCATTAATAGCCATTAAATTTAATATTAATAAAATATTATCTTTTATACAATAAAAAAGTTTTATTATATTTTAATTATTCAAATATAAATTTATGTATAAAATTGTCTCTTTACTTATCATTCAAACAATCGGTTCAATTTTTATTGGAAAGTACGATCCGTGCAGTTATTCACGCAGCTATCCGTTCGGTAAATTTCGATCATGTGATAAGTAGATGAGAAAGCAGTGGATGCACAAAACACTGCGTAAATGAATGCACTTTACTATTTATCTGTTTTTCATCAATTGCTCGGTGTTAAAACGCCGGTATATGAAAATCCAGGCTTAGCTGTAATTAACTGGAAGATATCGAAGATATTATATAATATATTACTTATATATTCTTATATTCCCCGAGTTGAATTAGTCACTTTATTTACGCAAGCAAATCTAATTTTAAGAAAAAAATATTACTGTAGATATATATATATATATATTTATGAAAGAAGAAAATAATGTTGATATGTATGTGTCTCTTTAATAAACATAATTATATATAAGTTTATTATCATATATAAGTTTTAATTAAATATTAAGATATTACAATAATTTAGATAACATTTTGTTAATTATGTGACAATAATGCTAAATAGGATGAATAATTATAATTATAAATATTTTAAATTTGCAAAATTACTTTACTTATAGTATCTTCGATATCTTCTACCAGCTAATCACAACTAATCACAACTCGGGGAATATAAGACAGTGTTGAGTTAAGTTATCATGACTCATGAAGAGTACTACCATACTAGATGGTTATGTATATTTTTTTCTTGCTGGTTGCTAGTTGGATTCGCGTGCTTGTTGCACTCTTGTCTTCGATTGGTATATTTTTTTAGATCCAAAAGAATATATCAATCAGAGACAAGAGCTCAACGAGCATGCAAATCCAGTTAGCAAATCAGCAGGAAAAAAAGCATCGTGTGCCATTGGCTTAAGAAAGTTTCTACTTTCATACTTACTGATTAATATCTTATAATGTTCAAAATTACCGCTATTGATTGAATTCGTTTGCCCTGCACTGCTTGCACTGATTCTAAACTCAGTACAGCTAATTCAGTGAACTTGTGTATTAAGTTCTGTTGCACTGAATGACGAACAGTATCGTTGACGTCATTTCGAAAATAGGATGCGTTCTTTTATTCACTCCGAATGCTCATGCTATGACGTAATAGAAGTGTACTGCGATTATCGTTCCGTTTAGTTTCGTGTGCTTTCTAACTGCTTCAGATTATAAAGCAGAAAGCAGTTGCAGGCTGCGTTCCGTAACTTACTGGCAGTACTGCCAGCATGACGTCATTATAGTGTGCTATGCAAGCATTCCGTTTTCACTATCGCTGTACTGTGAAATTGTGAAACGGAATGGAATTGAACAGTATTGCGTACAACTGCATATGATGCTGTCATATAATAATATAAGAAAATGGAAAAATTTTTATAATTAATAATATTGCACGTATAATGAAATCAAGTAGTAGTAAATCTGAAGAGTACTGCGTACAACTGCATATGACGCTGTCATATAATAATATAAGAAAATGGAAAAGCTTTTTAATTATTATTATAATTAATAATATTGCACATATAATGGAATCAAGTAGCGGTGAATCTAATAGTGATTCTGATGCAATGGAGAAAATGTTAATAATATTAAAGAAAAGTAGATCAAATTCTATATCTAAAAAAATTCTATATCTAATACCTAAAATACGTGGAAGATGTAGTATCTCGATATACAAACAAAGAATTTAAAACTCACTTTCGGTATATTTTTATAATCTTTTGTTCTTTGTAGATACAATAAACTGTTTCTGTAATTTTACTAAAATATATTTATTTTAGATTACATCGAATACATTTTTTTTTATATTGGAATTAATAGGGCCAATAGAAAGGGATAGAAAATCAGGTAGATGCACGATCTCTTCTCAAAAGTAATTAAAGCAATTAAAACAATAATTTTGTATATAATAATGTATATAATAATTATACAAACTTAGTAGCGCGAATGATCGAATCCGCTATAATATAAATATCAAACTTTATTTTTATCTCGCAATGCTTTTTGTGCGTCTTCTTTATTTATTTTTATTTTTATATTGAATATTTGTTTCTACATCGGATAGAGTCTTCTTTCTTGAATGTCGCCATTTTGTACTGTGACTGCTGCGTCTTTTTAGTTACAGTAACCGCAGCAGAAAGTGACAACAAAATTTATGACGTTATTATTCTAT